ATGCATTCCCAAATCAAGCTGGAACAGGGCTCCACAGAGCCGCAGGGCCTTGGATATCCAGGGAGGAACCTGTGCTACTCCAGGACAGCAAAGTTGCACCTCCTGTCACTGATGGGTTTGGAGCACAGCAATCAGAGTCACCTCGAGAGAAAGAGCAGTAGAAGAGGGGCACAAAAAGGGAAATTCCTCTTGCTGGGATTGGCTTCAGCACTCGCTGTTGCAAGATGCATTTGTGGAAGTCACTGTGATCATTGCAGGGTGTGCTCTGGGTGTGCTGATCCCATGGCAGAGTCCTTGTGACACTTTGTATTGGGAAATGCGCTGCTGAGACTGCTCTCAAAAGAGGTATCATTTAAAAAAAGAAAAGTAGGAAAAATTTGATTAACAGAGAAAAAAACAATTTTAAGTTTCCCTGAAATGCTGATGGAGATTAAAAACTGGTAATAAAAGGTAAAAGGGAGTAAAAGCCTGCACACAGGATGAAAAATGTGGGTGGAACGAGAGCAGAAACAGAGTAACAGTCAGGACACTGAGGGGAGCTCCTGGGGAGCTCCTGGGCCGGGGGTGCAGCTCCCAGTGCCGGCTCCTCTCTCCTTCCCAGGAGTTCCTCTTCCCTCACAGTGCCAGGGTCGATTACTGGCTCGGGCTGCGCAGACGGGGCCGGGAGCTGCAGTGGGGGGACGGCAGCAGCTTCAACTCCTCGTGAGTCCTGGGAGGGCCGGGCAGGGGTAGGGGGGCACAGGGGCACAAGGTGTCCCCCCTGCAGTGCCAACGCTGTCTCTGCTCCTCCCTGCAGGGTTCCTGTCCTGGGCAATGGAGTGTTCCTGTTCTTGGCTGAGAGTAAACTCAGGAGTGGGAGCTGCTAAAATGAGATGCCATTTCTCTGCAGCAGATCCCAAACTCGCCTCTGACAGGGGAGGAGGAAGGGCCTTCTCCGTGCTGGGCACTCTCATCTCCTCTTCTTCCCCCCTGCACGGGGATTTCCTTCCTCATCCACAGCGTCTGCCTTGCACTGACCCTCAGGGTCCCCTCAGTGCCGGATCTCCGGGAGATGAACCTCCAGGAGGAGGAGATGATCTGGAACCTGCTGTGTGGCTGCCGGGGCTGGGGCTGGGGGTTTCTTTCTCCTTCTGAAACCAACCCAGAACTTCCACTGCTCAGCCCCGGCGGTTCCCTGGCTTCGTGCTCAGCCCGGGCACCGCGCCAGGAGCTGTTGCGATGAGAATTCGGGGAAATGCAGAGACCGAGGGGCGGTTCCGTACCGTGTGCGGGAGTGGCCCGCGCTCCCATTGGCTGATTTCCCCCGTCCCTCCTCTCCCTCTCGCGCTGATTGGTCAGAACGGTGTTCCGAATGCTTTCCGCTGTGAGGTGCCGCCCGCATTTCTGGAATCAGCGCTGTCGCCATCGCCGGAGCGTGTCTGGAGCCCCGGGAGCGGCGGCAGCGGCCGGAGCGCGGTGAGGCGGCGGCGGAGCTCGGAGGCGGCCCCAGCGCAGGTGGGAGAAGCGCTCGGT